ACTTTCCAGCCTAGAAGAGGAAAAAAAAACAGATTTGCTTGGACTCAACCCAGTTGAATTCTTAACTCTTCCTGTTGTCCTGCTACCATCAACGCCCTGAAAACAGTGACCAAGAAGGGTATACCTCATGAAAGTGCAAACATTACCTCCTTTTTGGATTGACTTTCTAATCCACAAAACTCCTTTGCACTTTCTTTTTGCAAAGTGCTCAAAACAGCCTCCACATGGAAGAACAGGAAGTTGCCCCTTGCTGAACTCCACTCTTCTGTGAATGGTTACTGCATGGTCCTCTCCTTATTGACCAAGGCATGGGTATTGGTTAAGGGACAAGGAAAACGCTGTACCTGTGAGACCCATGCCATCATTTTCTTAATAATTGATTTTGAAAGAACTGTCAAGTGGGATAGAAATAAAGAAGCATACATAGATGTAATATTTATGTATCTGTGACTGAGCCATAGATACTTAGAGGCAAAGTATGCCACAAAGGTCCACTTTGTGTTTATGGTGGACCTTAAAAAAGGGGAAAAAGTCACAAACAGTTATACTAAGTGTTCACAAATAATTATATTAAGTGTTTGGTCAAGAGGTTAAAAGATAGAATTGGAGAGAGATTTTAATTGCTAATATTATTACTTCTTGCGACAACAGAAAAATTACTGAAATTTCAAACTTGACTAAGAAACTTCCCACTCCTCCTTCTGAGAATTCATGTCACTTGCAACCCCATCATAGTTCTACATGGTTATCTGATTGCACTTGATCTCTTCTTTCTTAGATGCATCTAGTCCTGGGATCTAAATCCCAGGGTCTCCACTAAAAATTCAAGGCACAGATAAGTCAAAAAATATGAAGATTTATAGTGACAGGTTATATACTCTAATAAGCACATTTTATTAAAAGATAGCTTTTTAATCACATCAATTTTAGATTTTCTGTATGGATCCTTGGACTTTTGTATTCTGGCAGGTGCTCTACCACTGAGCTACATTCCCAGCCTAATAATCTTAGATTTAATAGTCATCATGAAAGGACCACAGTGAGTTACTGTGTATATGGCATCCAGTTTTCCCTGTTATTAACATCTTACATTACTACAGAGTATTCGTTACACCTAATCAACCAAATTGATACATTACTTTTCACCAAAGACCATGTTTTATTCCAATTTCTTCAGTTTTTAGCTAATGTCCTTTTTCTGTCTCGAATCCCACCCAAGACACCACATTACCTTTAATGTTCATGTTCTTTAGACTGCTCGTGGCTATGACAATTTCCCAGACTCCCTTGTTTTTCATACACTTGACAGTTTTGAGGAGTATTGGTCAGATATTTTGTAGAATGTCCCTCTAGTAGGATTTGTTTTATGTTTTCCTCATGATTAATTTAGGATTATGATTTTGGAGGAAAGAAAGTGTCAGAAGTAAAGTGCCATTTTTATCACCATGGCAAGTGTAAATACTATCAACGTGATTTACCACTGCTGATGTAGACATTAGTCACTTGGCTCAGGTAGTGTTGGTTAGGTTTCATACTGTACAGCTACTTTTTTCTCCCCTCTCCATACTGTAATCTTTGGAAGGAAGTCACTATGCTCAGCCCAAACTTACAGAGTGGGGAGTTTATGCTCCATGTCCCTGAAAGTGGATTACCTACATAAATTATTTAGTTTAATAGGTATTTTAAATTTTAAAAAGCTAGGTGGATTCCACAAGTCAAGGGTGGTATAAATAGAAAAGGGGGAAGAGGGAAATTTATATTAGGAAGCCAAGAACTAAGGAAGTTAAGGTAATAATTTCAGCGAAGGTAAAACGTATTCATACTCCTCAACAGAGCCAAGCTTCATGACTAGAGATACATTCCAGTCACTTTTCTTCCTGCCTACCAGTTCATCTGAAAAACTGAAGCATTTGAACATTTGGAAGCTATGAGTCCATAATCCTTTTTACTTTATTCCTGGGATCATGAATATAACACAATTCCTCCCCTGCCAATACCTATTCAACATTTTGGTCTCCAAAATGCATAGAATAGTTTCCAGATTTCCAGACAGAATTTAGTGTCTTCTTGGAAGTAGATAAAAGTGGATATGCCATGGGAAGAGACATATCTTCTCTTATTTAGAGGAGTAAAATGAGGTAGAGGGTAAGTGATTTGCTAAAGATCTTCAAAATTAATGATTTCTATGTTTACCATTAACTAAAAGTACCCTCTCAAAATTCCCCAAAGATCTGCTTGTTGCCAACACCATGGTCATTACTCCTTCTTTGTTTTCTTTGATCTTTGTGTTGCATTTCACTTTGTTAGCTACCCTCCAGTATTGGATAGCCGTTGCTATATAACAAACCACACAAAAACCTCAGTGGTTTAAAAGCAGTCCGTATTATTGCTCACATATGTTTGGGGCAGCTGGAGTTTATCTAGATTGTGTTTAGATAGATGGCTGTGCTTCTCATGAGGATCTGCTAGTTGGCTGGGCACACTGTTCTGCCTATGTGTCTCTTATCCTTCTTCTCAGTGCGGAACGCCAGCTGTGGTATGCTTTTTACCATGGGTGTGGGTAAAAAGGCAAGAAAATGAGGGGTGACATCTGAGGTCCCTTAGGAATGAGGCTCAGAATTGGCACCTTGTCATGTCTTTGTACACAGTATTACTCAAAGCAAGTCCCACAGACAAGAACTGTATCCTCAATGAGGCTGTAACTAATGTGTAGTAAATGAAGAATCAAGGTCAGTAATGCAGTTTATCAGATTCTTACTTCTTAAAACATTCTCTTCTTTTTCTTTTTATGACAAAATACTGTCTCAGTCCTCCTACTTTTCATTTTTTATTTAATTCTTCCTCTTTTAGTCTCAGTACTGTGTATACCTAAGGCTCAGCTTAATAGTCCTGATTTTATTCCTGCATGTGCAGAAAGCTTATCCAGACTGCTTATCCAGAAAGCTTATCAGACTGTCTGATGCCCTAACAATAATTTCTAGTTTACTATTCAGCATGTCTATATTTCAATTTGGAATTGCCTAAACTCATAGCCTTTGGTCCCATTCTCTACTTAAGTCAATGTTTTTCCCAATGTGAAAGTGTATCTTTGAAAATAATGATGTAAATCTAAATGCAAAAAGAAAAGCAAAACAAAGTTCCCCCAAAATAGAGAAGGAAATATCTCAAATTTGATGACTAATATTTAAAAAAGCCCCAATAAAAACTTACCCCACTTTAATAGGAATATGACATACCTAAAAATGAAAAGGGAATATTGGAAAGCTAACAAGAATGGTAGTAACAAGAGCTATTAAGAATCATGTCTTCTGAGATTTTTTAAGATTTTTTTTTTGCAGTGCTGAGGATTAAACCCAAAGGCTCTGTGCATGTTAGGCAAATGCTCTACCACTGAACTGTTCTCTTTGCCATTGGTTTATTGAGACAGGGTCACACCATTTAGCTCAATCTGGCTTCAAACTTGTGATCCTTCTGCCTCTACCTCCCAAGTGCTGGGACTACAGGCCTGTGACATTAACTGGCAAGAATAAGTTTTTTAACAATTAGGTCATATAGGGTATCTATCATGACTACCATGTTTAGATAGTCAAAAGTACATTGAGGGGGTTTCTACATGGCCAAACTAACCCAAAAGGGTAGTTTTGGGGGAGCAAAGTTTTAGCTTCATATAGAGGGAACTCACTTGATAAGACAAGCAGAAACAGAATAGGCTGTATATCTTTATTCTTGTATGTGTGTCTCTCCTCTCTCATGAAAGGTCTTACTTCTTATTCTCCCAATTATCCATCACAATCCTGTCTACTCGTGAAGAATTATCCCAAACCGTCATACATCCACACACTCTTCCCTGACTACTCAAATCCTGCCAGTCCCTCTCAACATGAGGGACTGGCATAAATTCAAGCAAGAAACACAACGCTGAGGTTCTATCAGGCAGTAAATTCTTAGCTGCTTATCTGATTTCCAATCTGGAGACATTAGGCTGGCTTAGAATTCAAAACTAGATTGGGGTTCTTAGGGATCTGATCACTTGACACTGATTTCAGAAGACGAGACTTCTGATGTAAGTGAACATCTGAAAGAAGTAACAGATTTTCCCATCACTTGCCATCCAGGCTTTCAGTTTCCTATTAAAGAAAGACATTGAATTTAAGAAATCTAAGATCTTAGATTTGTAGATTAGATAATTTCAGGGTGAAATAGTAGGGTGAACATGCTATTTTTTCTTCATGTCTGAAAACTATTTAAACAAAAACTGGCTTATGAATGAGAATATATGATGTGGAGGAATACACAACACACTGGAGAACTGTCACCCTAATTTGTATTCAGGTCTGTCTGTTGTCATAGCTACTGATGTACTCAAAGCAATTTCCCTCCCAAATCATGTTCTGTAGATCTTCAGTGAAAATAAGCTATTCTTCCTGCTTTATTTTTCTCTGTCCATGAATCAAAGTTAAAAGCTAGCACCACTTGCATGGATGTTTTTACACTGTTAGCAAGATTTTTAAGTATAGAACAGGAATAAAAAATACTTAAAATAAGAAACTCTAATTGAGGTCTCACCCCATTTGTTCAGCAATGATTCACTGAGCACCTAGGCATTGGACAGAGTACTAGGATGACTGCCCAGTCCCTGCCCTTGAGGATATTAGAGGTCAGTAAGGGACAACGATGAGTAAGGATGTATTTCAACACAATGTAACCAGTGATGCAGTGGAAGCCCAGCACTGAGAGCCGTCACAGAAGAGCAACACCTCATTAAGTCAGGGGTGCTGCTGGGGTCAGAGCAAGGGGAGGCATCTATCCTGGGAGTCTCAAAGCATTGCTCCTGGGAAGTTTAACCAATGTATTTTTAGTCCTTCTAGGTACAGACACCCATTGAGATCCTGCAGGCTGGACTCATGGAGCAGTAGCACAAGGACACCAGAGTGCTGGCAGTGTGCTATCTGTGGCCTGCCTATACTCACACGTGATTCTCCTTTCTGCTCTGCCCACAGGAACTCCTTCACAGACATCCTCCGAGCTATCCTGCTGTCATTGGAAGTTCTTATTGAAGATCCTGAGCTTCAGATAAATGGCTTCATTTTAATTATAGACTGGAGTAATTTTTCCTTCAAACAAGCCTCCAAACTGACACCTTCCATCCTTAAACTGGCCATTGAAGGGTTGCAGGTATGTTCAACAAATGTGCAGAACCCAACAATTAACAAATGTATTTTTAGTCCTTTCTGGGTACTAATGTACTTTTTTCTTATTGCAAACAAGGTAATATTTGTCTTTTATAATGGAAAAAACAAAATGCAGATAAAATTCATCTGTGAGTGCTCCATATTTTTGCTTCAAGTTTACTTTAGGTGTTTGGGTTTTTTTTAAATTAGTCTTCATTTTCATTAATAACTCTAAATTACTGTTACCTACTGTAGTAATGAATAAAGTTCGGATATGTTTGGCTTAATCCATCAGAGAGTTCACAAATATTAAAACTAGGAAACATCTGCTTTACGAGCATGTCCTGCATAGAGGTAGCACAGGGGCTCTCCAGGGTTTCCAGAAACATTTTTATGACTCAAAAATGCACTCTGCAGATCAATTCCCATAGCGTCACCTGCTACAGTATTTGTGCTAACGTGGATGGCTTCCCTACAAACAAAGGAAGCAAATGAAATTCTTCCTCCTGTTTATATGGCCACTTGTCAGAACTGGTCCTTTGGGGAAGAGGTTATGGTTCTGTGTGGAGGTTAGGGAGGCCAGTCTCCAAGGAACCTTCTACTATTTAAGGGCCAGTGATTGTATGGAAAGTAATTAACTCAGAAATCCTGCTTCCTTGTGGTACAATATCCCAGTATAAAATTAGGGGCATTGTTTGGGGAGATTCAGGATCAACATAGATAAATCCTTTCTTAATTTAGTAGGAAGATTGACGCAATGGAGTGATTCTCCCCACCCCATAGATGTTCGTTACAATGGACCCTTGGTATTGGCTGGTGAACAGTTCCAAGGAGACTGCCAGTGAGGAAAACCACACATGCTCAGGATGCATGGAGCTCTGTGCACCCCGACTTCGTCTACATAATCTGCTACCTTTCAACAAACCTCAAATATCTCAAATGTTTATTTTATCACTTCAATTAAGCAAATTAACTTTTACCTTGCTTTCTGAGCACCATTTTCTTTTTAGCAGGCAGACTGTCACAAAATTAAGGGTAGGGAAAACACTCAGCTGATTGTCCAATTTTAACACAACAGACAATAAGGCAGGACTGACTGAAAACCTTCTCCCAGTGCACTCAGCTGTGTAGCGCATATATTGTAATTTAAATTTTTTGTTTTTGAAGTTTCTTTTGATTTTTAAAATTTATTATTATTTTTTTGATGGGGCTTGGTCAAAACCACATGTAATAAGTCTGTGAATAAGGTGTGCTAACTGTAATTGCAGCTATGTATATACAAAATATGGAGATTGGATAATTCTTAGATCAAGCAGTCATTCCTTATGCTCTTCAAAGTGCAAAGTCAGTCACCCGTTATACTTAATGCCACCAGTAGTTGGTGGATCTATTTCTTAAACTATGGCCTGTTCTCAGTTGGCCCCTAGCACATACCTGGCTGCTGATAATCATGTGTGCGTTGAATGGATCTTGTTTTATGGAAATGGTTTCCCATCTCCCAGAGTACGACAAGTAGACCTGATATTTCAGAAGAGGAGCAGTGAATACATGTCCCAGGAATGCCAAATTGTCCAGGTGGCCACACTGTGCAGAGAATGGAGGACACAATTTGAGTGTCTGCAGGTACAGACCACATGGAGCATCCTGCCTTGGCTTAAACTCTTTATCATGAACTTGTAGGTTCTTGACTATCAGTCACTTTCTCTCAGTTCTGTGTCAGTCTCTGAATCCCCATTCTCTCTCCTTAAGCCTCTTATTAAAGGAAATTTTTAAAGAAAACTTTGAGATTTATTACCTGCCTGTAATTAGGCTGACCATAGTTCCAGGAATTTCTGTAGAAGCTTCATGTAATCTCATTTTTTCAAATAAAAAAAAGATAATTTTTTACATAAATAAGTAGCTGTGATTTGACTTCTATGTTCTTTATAAATTTATTTTCATGAATGAGGAAAGAAAAAAATATCCTTTATCCAACCCTGTGTTCCAATTTCTCTTTCTGAAAAATGTGTGCATTACATAATATGCCCCTTGCTAGCCTCACTAGGCTGATGTGGGTCTCATTGAGTTAATGTACATGATGTGTTTTAAAAGTAAAGGTATACATAAATTTAAGCTTTTTCTTTCCAGAAATAATAGATGACCTTGGTGGAGCAAGGTGGATCCTATCTTGGTCTTCATTTGTCATGTACTTGGATCCAGGATGATTTCCACAGTGACCCATACTCTGTTAAGGGACAGACTCTCCTGGGAGGAAGGGAGATATGTGGGACCAGAGTCAGAGAGGAGAAAAAGTACTTGTTCCCATTATCCCCCAGAGTGATGAACTCCTCATTTATTCAGCAAGATAGGCTCTTGTGATTGTAGGGAATGGTAGCAGGCCATTCTGGATCCAGGCTGTCTGGATTGGGGTGCAGCTCTTTCTGGGAACCCTGCCTGCTCATGCCCTGGAGTCTTTAGTAAGGGACAGATCCTAAAGTTAGGGGCAGGAAGCTAATGGTCTCAGGAAAATTGGGTTGAAGTAAGGCTCCTCCATCTAAGATTGCCATTCTATGTTTTTAGTGTGTTGTCTTAGCCACACTGAAGAAGTTATTGGGGCTACTGCTGACAATTCCGTTCTTATTCTACAATGCCTGGCCAGCAACTGGAAACTTCTTGTACCAGTTTATCATCTCTCTGACTTTGAAGGCATTCAGACACAATGGTTTACCCACTACTGACTCTATCTTTATCACAGAGGTTGTCCCCATCTCTAGATGGCCATGAACCTTTCTGATACCTTGAAAATGCCGTAACCGGTACCAAGCAGAACTCACTCCTTTAGATCACCAGTTCTGCAGAGGGAGAAACCCCACAGCACCACTGGCTGCTTCTTGTGGAGACAGGGAAAGCTACACAAGGCTACCATCAGTGAAAGAAGAGAAGCAAGTTCCTCCCTCCCCCCCAGGTACCCTCAGAGAGGACTGAAAAGACTAGGGTGTTTGCTAGACGTGTGGGAAATCCTAGGATAGGGAGATCCTATGTTCTATTGTATAGAACTTGCTCTTTCTGCTGTCCTGCCTTTTGCAGGCTCTGTTCGACAAAGTGACTTTGAGCACTTTGGTGCTCAGTCATCTGGTTTGGGATTTCAGCCATTTATAGAATTGTCTAGGATTACCTGCTATTCAACTCTTGGAGAAATGAGGCTCTGGGGTACCATATACCTCCCCCATACACAATAACAACACCTCCTACTCACAGAAGAGGGAGGGGCCATCTCAGGTGGCTCAATGTTCAAGCAGTGAGAATTTAAGGTCAGTTTTGGTCAGACCCACACCTGGTGTCACAACTTGATTCCAGATGCCCGAGTTTTAGTCCTGTTATTTTGGTTCAAGACCTTGGATTACCAATTGTTGCAGGTTGGTTTCTCCAGGGGCAGACCCTGATGTGGAGATCAGCATGCAGGAAATTTATTAGGCAGTGCTCTTAGGTCAACATGTGCAGAAGGGAAGCTATTGCACAAGGTTTGCTAGAAGTGATTCAGTCATTTCTTTGGAAGGCCTCCAGTGTTCTGAAGTTAGAATGACCCTTCAGAGTCATTCTTAATGGGGGAGTCAATGATCTAGACTTTTATCTTCCTACGTTGTTCAGTCCCTAGCTACTCAGGGAAGGGAGTGTGAACTTGTGCAAAGTGACTTTTTTCAGTGTCTTTGAGGCCCCTTAAGGATGTGTTATCTTGAGGATATTCTCTAAGCAACTCTCCCAGTGGCCAGGGTCATGTATCAGAGCATCTATTGCAATAATCAAAAGATATTTGGGATATCTTACAATGTAATATCAAGGAGCTTTCCTTGTTCTGGGTCTGATGTGTGACTGCTTTATATTTTATTATTGTACTTCAGAAGGTAATTATCCTGCCTCTGACAGCAATCATCAAAAATACAGCATGTGCATAGGACTCAGTATGCACTTCGTAAGCTGAATTAGTTATTATAATAATTGTAGAAAAGACTGTTCTTTAAAGGATCATCAGGTTTTCATATCAAACTTTACCATGTATCAGTCAGTCAGGAAATGTTCTTTCAGAGCAATGTTTTGAGGAAATTCCATAGTTTAGGATATTATGTTGTATAGTTATTTAAATATTCTATGAATATTAGTTCTAAGAAGTTTAACTAAACACTAATTTTGAGAAATTATTTCTTCCTGCCCTGACTTCAGATTTTTAAGTGTCATCAATAATGTCTAAAAGAGCCATGGTATCTATTTATTACAGCTTATTTAAGTTTTAATCAAACTTAAAGTAATATTTATGCCACCATTTTAATACAACATGGCATTATTAGTCTCAGTCTGCTGGGGAGTGCTGGCAGAATGAGCAACACACTGAAGTCCTGCTCTTGAGATTTGTAATGTTTCCAAAATCAATTTTTAGAATTATTTCCTGTAAATCACTCTAGCCCAACTATTCCATCCAACACACGGTGTTTATCAATGTTCAGCCAACCCAGCTACTCAGAAAGCTGGCTGTGCCTGTGTATTTTCTTAAGAAGAGCTATAGCCTCGTGTCCTGTAAACTGTTTAAAAAATATTTGATTTATTTAAGGACACAAATATTTGCTATGGGTTTAGAAAATCCTGTTTTTTAGTTAGAGGAGAAAATCCAGGAAACACTATTTTGTTTCTCTCATTTCCATGCTCATGGCATTACTTTTTAAATCAATTTAGACAATTTATCAGTTCACAACTTCTTTGTACAAGGGTTGTTGAATGACTCTTTTATTCTATTAATGATGCTTGCATAATATTTCTATCAACTTTGATTCAACTTTCTCTGATAGCTTTGAGCTATTGGGTGCATTGATTTTCCACTCTTTTCTCCTTAGCCTTGATAATGATTTTATAATTTCTAACCCAGGTGGGAGGGGCTTTGGAGCAGTGCTGAGACTCAGCCACCTCAAATCATCTACCTCCTTACAGCTTCTTTTGTTACATCTTTTCAGACCTTACTTCACCCTCTTTGGCCTC